TATGTAGCACAGCTGGCCCAGAACTCACTATGTAGCCCAGGCTGGTCTCAAACTTGTGGTGATCCTCCTGCCTCATTCTCTGGGTGTTTGGGATTACAGGTGTGTACATGGGATTACATGGCTGGAATGGTATGTTCTTTCAGGCAGATTTAGGGTGCAACGGAGCTCTGTCAAGTTTAGTTGTGATTTTTCCCTGAGGATCTCTAGCTTTTCAGAACAGCTGCCCCCAGAATGCCTCACAGACACCCCATCCACATGCTGGTAGGACTGGTCTCCTGTTCCTGGTGGACATAGCATTTTTTGCCTCTCTCCTTATTTAATCTTTATAATAATCCCAGGTTGTCGAGAGCCTGGGTTCTTGGCTTCAATTTAGTGCCTGAGAACTGTAAGAACTAGCTTGGGAGCCAGCTTTGGGACTTTGTCTGGAAGGTGTTTACACTATAAATGCTGTTTTCACTGAGCTTGGCTATTTCTTTTTAAGTGTGGCTTGGGGGAAAGTGCTTGGAATTACAGAGGAGTAAGGGGCCAGAGAGCCTGCATCCCTCTCTCCACTACTGATATTTTTTTAAATATTTTATTTATTATTTTTATTTTATGTGTACGAGTATATTGCCTGCATGTATGTGAGTGTACCTGTGTCATGAAATGCCGCGGAGGTCAAAAAAGGGCTTCAGATTCCCCTGGAACTGGAGTTAAGGATGGTTCATAGCCACAATGTGGGTGCCGGGAATCGAACCTGGGTCCTCTGCAAGAGCAGTCAATGCTCTTAACTGTTGAGCCATCTCTCCAGCCCATACACTACTGATTTTTAATGGCTCATCTTGGGTAAGTTGGCACTTGAAAGGCTGGGGACCTGTAGGAGACTCAGGTATAATGATGGCTGAGGGAGTCTCAGCAGGTGCAGGGAGGGCACGACAATAACCCTGGTGGTGATGAGGGGCAAACAGGCAGAGTGATGCTAAGTGGAGACAGAGCAGATGGGGAAGGGAGAACGGTCCACAGAGATCTGAAGGATGCAAACGCCAAGGAAAATGAATCAGTCTTTCTAAGAATAGTGATGGAACCCAGGACCAGATTGTCACCAATCCCCAAACCACCTTGGCGTACGATGACAACTTAGAGTTAAGCTCTCCCAAGACTTAGAGGCAAGTGGCTGAATGGTCCCCAAGCACACAACAGGCTTGATGTAGACCTGACCTGAGAATTCTATTTTTACTGTGTCAGAGAGCGCACATGCATGGGCCAAGTTTGTTCTCAGTTAACACTCCCACCCAGCCGCCATTTGGTGAGCACCTGGTGCTATGGGTTGAACTGCTGTCTCCCTGTGGCGGTTTGAATGAGAATATCCCCATAAGCTAAGGTATTTGAACACCTGGTCAGGTGGTGGTGTGTTTGGGGAGGATCATGGAACCTTACCAAGGTGTGGCCACAATGGAGGAAACACATCTCTGGGGGTGGGCTTTGAGAGTTCATAGCCTCATCCCCCTTTCTCTCTCTCTGCTTCCTATCTGTGCTTGGAGATGTGAGCTCTCAGCTTCCTGCTCCGGCTGCCTCCTGCCATGCCTCCTCCATGATGGACTCTTACCTTCTGTAACGCTAAGGCAAATAAACTCTTCCTTCTCTAAGTTGCCTCAATCATGGTGTTTTATCACAGTAACAGGAGGCTAATACACTCTCCAAAAATATAAAGTCCTTTGGGTCTTTATAGATGTAATAATGTAGTAATGAGGTCATTGGGGTACACCCTTATCCAATATGATGTGTGTCTTTGTAAGAAGGAAATGTAGGGCTGGGGGGATGGCCTGGTGATAAGAGTGCTTTCTGTGTAAGCATGAGGACCAGAATTTGAATCCCTACCACCCATGTAAAAAGTCAAGCATGGCCGTGCACGCCTGTGCCCAGCATAGGGGTTGAGGACAGGTGGATTCCAGGAGCTCAGTGGGCAGCTAACATAGCCCAGACAGCAAGGTCCCAATTCAGCGAGAAACCCCGACTCAAGGCAATAAGATGGAGAGCACTAAGGTGCTGGTTTATGGGGTTGGTTTGTCACCTCAACACAATCTAAAGTCACCTAGGAAGAGGGAACCTCAATTGAGAAATTGTTTCCATCAGATTGGCCTGTGGTCAGGTCTGTGAGTCATTTTCTCAATTGCTGAATTGATATACGAGGGCCCGGCCCGCTGTGGGTGGTGCCATCCCTAGGCAGGTGGGCCGGGCTGTATAAGAAAGGTAGCTGAGGAAGCCATAGGAGGCCAGCTAGTAAGTAGCGTTCCTCCATGCTCTCTGCTTCAGTTCCTGCCTCCGAGTTCCTGTCGAGTTCCTGCTGTGGCTGCCTTCAGAGATGGACCGTGAGCTGTAAGCCAGATGAATCCTTTCCTCCCCAAGCTGTCCTGGGTCAGAGTGTTTTATCACAGCAACAGAGAAGCAAACAAAATCAGTGCACGGTGGTGGCAAGTGCTTGCTTTGCAGTTCTGGAGATCTGATGGTTCATTCTGCTCCTCAACTTGATTGGTGAGGCACACTTCTGGTTGTGTCTGTAAGGGTGTTCTCAGAGAGGATTCACAGTGAGTGGCCCCATCCTGTGGGCCTGACAGAATAAAAAGGGAAGAAGGAATAAGCCAGGAGAAGACCAGTATCCCCGTCTCCTCCTATATGCCAAAATGAAGACCAACCTCTGCTCCAGCCCCCCCCATCATGATGCCCTCTGCCCACACACAGGGGCCAAGTGACCATGGGTTGAACCTCAGAAACTGTGAGCCAAGACAGATCATTCTGCCTTAAATTGTTTATGTCAGGCTTTCTATCATTGTGATAAGAACTCACTAATACTTCACTAACACACCCTGGGGTTACAGGAGCAGGGAATGCCACATCTTCCAGGGATAAGGACTCAGCGGTCCTAGAAGGATGTCCTGGGCCTCACATGTCAAGGGGTGTTTACACGGATTCTATGTGTGTCTGGGGACAAGGCACTGGCTTGGAGGCTGACTCTAGAGCCCAGGAACCCGTAAACACTAAGATGACTGAGTGACTATGATTTAATACAGGAGGACAAAGTTTTGCTTTCAAAATGTCACCAAACTTGCTCACATGTCAATATGCAAAGGCTGTGGGGTTTCTGGATGTGGTATGCACATGCACCCAGCACCAGGCTTCTGGGCTGCCTTTAACCTGATGGAGCCTTGAAAGTTCAGGTTTGGATACACTTAGCTTTTGGAAAGTCTTGGTAGAAGGGAGGATTTCGGGCCTGAGAGCACCCTGTAAATTCTCCTACTCTCTAGGTGTGTTTGATATAGCACCCAGGGGGACTCTCGCCCCCTGGGGAAGAGGGTGCTTTGTCAAGGCTGAGGTGGAATTTCTGGTAAATATTTAGCATTTTGGAGAAACTATCATTTTCATACTCTGTCATGTAAACAATATTCTATGGGCTGGAGACATGGCTCAGTGGTTAATGGCAGCTAACAACCATTTGTAACACCAGGTCCAGGGGACTCTGACACCTTCTTCTGGCCTCCGTAGGTACTGCACATACACAGTGCACTTACATACATGCAAGCCAAAGACTTATATACATAAAATAAGAAAAAAAATAGAGAATAGTCTATATTCCTACACATTACCTTCTTCAATCTTCAGACCAACCATATGAGATGGCTTCTATGATTATTGTTCCCCCCCCCCCCCCCGCAAAGGAGGAAATGGAGGAATATGAACATTCAAGAACTTTCCCAAGGTGGCTGGTAAGCATTATGAGTGCATTACTGTCTGTAACCGTCTGTGGAGCTGATGCATAGTTACCACACAGGCCCTACTATGTGCCTCTGTCACAGGAGGTCTCTCCTCAGCTGCCATGAGAACGTGTGCTCCCTGTGTGACATTTCTAGCCTTCAGTGTAATCACGTCATGACTTCATTTGTTCAGTACTGGTGTGAATGTCTCCCCGCCTACCTTCTTTTCCCTTTGGGATTTCTTTCTCCCTCCCAGCACCTCCCCCTGCTCTGGTACTTGGTTCTTAGTTCTATGTCCCAGGAAGGAGACAGCAGGCAGGTCCGGTTCTCCAAGGGGCCGCCAGAGGGCGCTGCCCGCGGGGAAAACAGGCGCACCTCAGCCTGTGTAGGTTGAAAGGAGAAGCAAGCTGAGCTGTTCTTAGCCTCCTTTAACTTTGGTTCTTGGAAAGTCACCCAAACTGAAGCAAAAGCTCCTATTCGGAATCGGTGGGGAATTCTTTCATGCAGCCAGGAGAGTCTTGGTATTCAGGGCCTTTGAAGCTTTCTCCCAGGAGACAGAAAACGCATATAACATGGGTCTGGAGTGGGAAATACTTCTGTCCTCTGGGTGCCCACAGCACTCTGGACAGCCACAAACACCCAGGCTGGAATCGGACCTGCCACTCCTCCTAGCTGGGCGCCGCTGGCCAGGACAGCCCCTCTGGTCTAGTCTGACAATGCCAACCTGCCTACTCAGCAGGTTCGTGCTCAGAGTTAAGGTCCACGGTATTGGGGAAGCTTCCAGAATCCTCTTTCAGATTTGGGGTGGTTCAAGGCTAGCCTTCGGGTCCCCTCACATGCTTTGCTTCCCTCCCAAGTGGATCCCCTACTCAGCTACGCCCAGCCGGTGGGGCCCGCCCCCGCCCCGCCCTTGGAGGGCGGAGGGCAGGACCAGCCCGTGAGTGTCTCTTGCAGGTCAGGGCCGCACTGATCCTGGTCAGTGCAATAAATTAACTTGGATTTCTAGGACAGTGCAGACTTCTGCCGCCTCTCCCACTGCCAGTCCTGAGGAAAGGAACCTGCAGGTGGCAGACCCAGAGCAAGGGGTTCCCAGGAGAACCTTCCAGGTGAGAACCCAGAGGCTGGGCAAAGAGAAGCTGTCCTGGAGACACAGAGTCCCCTCCAGACACCGCATCCAGGGTGGAGCAGTGCGCGCAAGTGTCAATCAAAGTGGTGCCCCGGGCGCGGAGGGAAGAGGAAATGCCCCGTTGCATCTTCCGGGTCCTTCTCCAGGTCTGGCCCAGCTTGGGGACCAGGACCCGGTACGACCCCGAGCACCGCGACCCGGAAGGCCCCGCCGAGCCGGAAGGCTGGAGGGCGGAGCCAGGGCGGCCGCGGCCTGTGCGCCTCAGTGTCCCCACGGCGGCGCGTCCAGCTAGGGAAGGTGCACCGGGGTCTGCGGGGACCCACGGTGTGCCGCACGCTGTGAAGAAACCGAGAAGCCAAAGCCACTGCAGTCAGTGGCGTCTGGAGCAGCTCCGCCCGCAGGGCATCGGTGCCCGTAAGTGCGCGTGACTGACTGCGCGTGCGCTTGCGCCCTGCCGGGGTTCGCCCCGCCGGGCCTGGCCTCCTGCTTAGAGATAGATGGTCAGGAAGGGGTGTCAGGCGCGCAGGAGGCCAGATTAGCTGTGTGGAGACAGGAAGCTGCGATAGCCTTTCTGTAAAGAAACCCTTACTCTGAGAGGTGGAGAAGCCACTGCTATGGCCCAGTGAGTAGACTTGTGCATGCCTGGAGCATCCTGCTCCGTTGTGGGGTGCGGGGTGTCCGCCCAGGTTCAGCCCTGACTGCGAGCCTCGCAGTGGACCTACCACCCAGGCCTTCTGATCTTTCCAGGGAAATCAGGAATCCAACATGTGTGTGCAGTTTTATTATCGGTATTATTTTGAGGTAGGGTCTTATTATATAGCCGAGGCTGGCCTTGAACTCACAGTCCTCTTGCCACAACCTCCCCAGGGTTGAGGTTACAAACATGTATTACCCCGCCGGTGATATGTTATATTTAAATATAAACAGTCAAATCGTTTCAGAACAACTTTGTGTTGGAGAATGGATGGACAGGATGATGAAATTTATCAGAAGCCAGAGTGCAAGGGTGGCTTTGTGGATTCCAGAAAATGGAAACTTAAGAGAACTCTGGCTAAGGGCCTGTTTTCATTTTCTTTCTGTCGCGCTTTTCTTTTTTCCTCATCAATCCCCACCCCTACCCCCAACTTCCTCCCTCCACACTGGAGATTAGTACCCAGGGCTTTGTCTGATACTGTTTTTCTTTAGCATAGACTTCAGGGATGAGGTCACTGTAAGTCTGTTGATGCTCTAACTTCTGAAATGATTCCTGTGAGGAATTTAAACCAGTCTTTTTGTGGATCAGAGCAACCACAAAGCTGCATCTGCCTGTGGCGTGGGACTGGCGAACCCCAGCTGCAGTGGGGCCCCTTTCCTTGCCCAGCTTCCCTGCTCCCTGGCACCTGCTGGTCATCGTCCTGAAGAAGTCTGACTTGTGCCCTGACACTGGCCTGGCTGGGCTAAGGGGAGGTTGCAAATGGCATTTGCATGCTGGTACCTCATCTGCCTCATGGGTTTTGATTTAAGGGCATCAGAGTAGGTCAGGATCTGCATCTGTTTGAGCGGGCAGTGAGGGTGAAATGGGTACAGTAGGCCCCCCTCTATTAGAGTTCTCCAGAGGAACAGTGATCAGATTGAATATATATTAAAATAAAATTTAAAAATATTTTATTCATTTTTTAAATTTTATTATTTTTATTTTATGTGTATGAGTGTATTGCCTGTGTGTCATTGCAGTTGTGTCGTGCAGTGCCTGTAGAGGTCAGAAGAGGGCGTTAGATTCCCCTGGAATGGGAGTTACAGATGGTTGTTAGCCACCATGTTGGGAACCAAACCTGGGTCCTCTACAAGAGCAGCCAGAGCTCTTTAACTGCTGAGCCATCGCTCCAGTCCCATGAAAGAATTTATTAATTAGCTTACTTTGATATAGTAGCAACAGCTGAATCAGACTCAGACTCAGGCTCAGAACCTGGGAGCTGCTCGGCCCTTGAGGCTGGGTGGGGGCTTCAGCACTTGAGGAACCCCACAGTGGCTCTCACTGGAGAGGCAGAGACCCCATAGTTGCTCAGTTCACAGGACTGGTTGCCTCAGCAGCCTAATGTGACTCCAAAAACCTGAGGGTCCCTGGAGAGCCACGGAAGCTCAGTCAGTGATGGAGGCCTGGAAACACTGGTTCTGATGTCAGCAAAGGAGTCAGCAACAGCAACAAAAGGGAAGGTCTTTGAGAGACAGGCAAATACTCTTCCTTCTGTCACGTTCCTTTTAAAAAGTTATTTTTATTTTATGTGTATGAGTGCATTATCTGCATGTATGTAGATGTACCCATGTCATGCAATGCCCATGGATGTCAGAAGAAGGTGTTGGATCCCCTGGAACTGGAGTTAGGACAATTGTTAGCTGCCATGAGAGTGGTAGGATTCAAACCCTGGTCCTTTGCCAGAGCAGCCAGGGCTTCTGACTGCTGAGCCATCTCTCTAGCCCTGCCATGCTCCTTTTTATCTGGGCTGCTACCTGGCAGTGCTGCCTACATTTGGGGTGTGTCATCCTATGTCAGTTAAGACAATTCCTCAAGGGACGCTCCCCACTCAGGTGATTCTAATTTGTGGCAAGTTGATATTAACACAGACCATCATGCTCCTTTGTTTTATTCGATATTATTTTTAATTTTTTTTCATATTTTATTTTTATTTTATGTGTATGTGTGTATTGCCTGCATGTAGGCAAGTGTACCCATGTCATGCAATGCCGGACAGGGGACAGAAGAGGCTGTTGGATCCCCTGGAACTGGAGTTATGGACAGTTGTTAGCTGCCATGTGGGTGCTGGGATTCTAACCCAGGTCTTCTGCAAGAATAGCTAGTGTTAATGACTGTGCCATCTCTCCAGCCCCCCATCACACTCCTTGAGTCACAGTTTTACCTTAAGTAGTTTCGGCTACCTGCAGCCAAATAGTAAGTGAAAAAAATCCAGAAATAATTCATGAGTTTTAACACCTTGTAGGTTAATTATGGGCCATTCACAGGGGGTCAATTAGTGACTGCTCTGTTCCTGGGATAAAACACCATGACCAAGGCAACTTATAGAAGGAAGAGTTTATTTTGGCTTAAGCTTCCAGAGGGATAAGAGTCCATCATGGAGGGGAGGCATGGCAGCCAAGGCAGCCCGAGCCGAAAGCTGAGCGCTCACATCTCCAAATAGGCACAGGAAGCAGAGAGAAAACAAAAGTACGATGAAGCCTCAAGTGCTTCCTCCAGTAGGGCCACACCTGCTGAACCTAAGGAAACAGCACCACCAACTGAGCAGTGTTCAGGTTCATGATCCTATGAGAATACCTCATTCAAGCCACCACATGAAATCACAGGCCGTCCTGCTCCGTCCTGCCTGGGATGTGAATCTTCCCTTTGAACAGAGTATCCACACTGTGTACATTACCCACTCCTTAGTTACTTAGTAGCCATCAGCTCTCATGTTGTGGCTGCTCAGTGCCTGTGCTCAGGTAACCCTTGTTTTACTTAATAATGTCTGCAAAGATCAAGAGTAGCAGTGTACAGGAGGGACCAGGGCATGACAGCTGGAGGGACAGGTTAGCCATGTTTTCAGACATCCTCTGGGGTCTCCAGATGTATTCCTTATGGACAAGGGGGGCTATTCTATGCATCTCTCTCCTACCTCTTTTTTGTTGTTGTTGCTTTGAGACAGGGTCTCACTATGTAGCACTGACTGTCTGGAAACTCGATGTGTAGACCAGGCTGGTCTCAAAATCACAAAGATCTGCCTGCCTCTGCCTCCCGCGGTGGGATTAAAGGCTGCACCACCACACCCAGCCCTCCTACCTCTTTCATGTGCATTGCTTTGCTGTGCAAAAACTGTTTTGAGGGTGCAAATCCATTGCTCTATAGAAAAGCCTTCTATGTGCTGGTGCTGAGGCTAAACTTCAGGATTAGAGAGGAACCAGCCTTGAGCCACCGGGTGTGAACAGTCCCTATATTCTTGAGACCTGGGCTACACCTGCCTTTTCCAGTGTTACTGACAGATAAAAAGCTTGGTCTACACCAAAACTAACCTAGAAAAGGAGTAGCTACTTTACAGTAGGGTTTTTAGATTTTTGAAAGGGAGTCAGCCATCTAAAGTGTATCAAACAGAAAAAGAAGCCATACCTGGCGGTGCAGACCAACACTTGGGGGGCTGAAAGTTCCAGGCTAGCCTGAGCTATATAGCGAGCATAACAAGACCCTGTCTCAAAGAAAACAAAAAAAAAGGGCATTTCATGATCCTGGAGCCCAGCATATTTCTTCTCCCTCCTGGGAGTGCCCAGAAGTTCTGAAAACCAGGCTTTGTCATAATTTGGTGGCCCCATGGATTTATTATAAGGGCTCAGAACTCCTAAAATCAAGAGGATATTAAAAATTAAGAGATTTGGGGTGGGGGCTGGAGTGATGGCCTAGTGGAGCACTGGCTGCTCTTGCAGAGGACTCAGGTTCTGTTCCCTGCACCTACATGGTGGCTAACAACCGTCCGTAACTCCAGTCCAGGGGAGCCAGTGTCCTCTTTTGACCTCGTCAGGCATTGCACAATATGGGTGCACTTACGTACATGCAGGCAGTACACTCATACATAAAAAAAAACACTGCTATATATATTAAATTAATTTTAGAAAATAGAAATTCCTGATTCTGCATTATTCTTGGATGATAGAGGAAAGGAGGAGGAGGTAGGAGAAAGGAGGAGGAGGAGTATGAGGAAGAGGGGTAGAGGAGGAAGAAGGAGGAGGAGGAGGTAGGGGAGGAGGACCATTCACATAACCCAAAGCTGTTGAGCAGCAGAAGCCCCCAGCTTCCTCTTCAGGCTCCCTCAGCAGCTGCCCAAGTGCCGGATGCGGTGAGACACCAAAACTTGTGAGAATCACCAGCTCTGCTGCTCTGATTTTTCTCCCATGCTGTGTGAGGTGGCCCATGACTATGTGGGCTTCCTGACCCACCCATGCCTCTGTGGGTGCCTGCACTACCCGTGACCACACCTCTACCTGTCGTTTCCCTGTCAGCATGGCCAAGTGTCCTGACCCCAGCAAACCACTTAGTGACATTGTTCTCCAGGGCTGTCCCTGCATCGTTTCATATGGGACGAGCCCCATATGAAAAATGGGGAAATTTCTGGAAATCTCTTGTTTTGAGACAAGATCTCACTATGTAGCCCAGGCAAGCCTGGATCTCACTGTGTAGCCCAGGCTGGCTTCAAAGTTGCTCTAATCCTCCTTCCCCTGCCTCCTAACTGCTGAAATTGCAGCTCTGAGCCATCATTCCTAGCGCCCCTGGAAATCTTTTGTTTATTTTGTTCTGTGGTTGCTTCACCACAGAGATCTGCCTGCCTCTACCTCCAGAATGCTGGAATTAAAGGCTGCACCATCACACTCAGCTGTTTTTACTTAAAAATTTATTTTATTTTTATTTTTCTGTGTATGAGTGTTTTGCCTACATGTATGTAAGTGTACCTGTGTTATACAAGGCCCATGGAGGCCAGAAGAGGGCATTGGATCACCTGGAACTGGAATGGTTGTTAGCTGCCCTGTGGGCGTTGGAAGCAAACCCAGGTCTTCTAGGAAAGCAGCCAGTGCTCTTAACCACTGAGCCATCCCTCCATTCCCCATAACTAATTTGTTTGATACCAGGTCTACCTATCTAGTCCAGGCTGGCCTTGAGTTTATAACCCTCAGCCTCCTGAGAGCTGGAATTACAAGCCTGTGTTACCATACCTACCTGTTGTCTGTGTATGTCCTATGTGTAGAACTGTGTCACCTCGTAAGAGCAGTTGCTTAAAGAAACCAGTGGTGTGTGTTGGTAACTGAACATTCATTTAGTGCCACCAGACAGTGCAGCGTCCCAGGCCCACCCCGGTCAGTCACAATGCATGTCTCCCACTTGTCACTTACAAGGGCCTAGGTGGTAAGTTTTCATTCATCTTTTTTTTTAGTGTTGGGCCCAGGTTTACTCTATCTTAAATGAATTATCTGGCACTGGAGAGGTGGCTCAGAGGTTAAGAGCACACACTGTTCTTGCAGAGGACCTAGGTTTAGTTCCTAGCACCCACACAGCTAGCAACCACCTGTAACTCCAGTTCCTGGGTATCTGATGCCGTCTTCTGGCCTCCTCGGGCTTTCATATACATTGCACTTATATACGTGCAGGCAAAGCACTCAAAGACATAAAAATCAATGAATAAGTTGAAGTATCTGACGCTCTGCTCAGGTTACCCAGCAGGCAATGCCAGCATGACCCCAACATCCTGTCCTTTCTCCTCTGGCCTGGCTCTGATGCCCTGTCACATACAAATGGCCACATGACTGGGAATTTGCAGTCTCTAGCAGGCTTTGTGTAAAAGTTGAGTGTTATATGAGCCAACTGAGAGGCTGCTGGTAGGAGAGAGGTCAGGCTTGCCTCTCTGGGGAACTGGTGGAACCTGTGCCCGGGCTGTTCCTTCATTTGTCAGAAGTCAGATGCTAGTCAGGGGTACAGAAGACCTCCCACCCACTTTGATGTGTTCATTTGCTCATTAGCTGCTCCATGGCTTCTCTGTGATGGACAACTACACAGGACTGTGTGCCATCTAGCATGTACATGGCCAAGTAACTTCTCTCCAGAGAGTGGGGACTCCTCTGAAATGCTAGGAAGAGTTATATTTGGGTAGAAATAGTCATAAGCTCATTTAAACTCTTTCTTTCAGCTGGTGTGGCACTTCCCTGTCATCCCAGAACTTGGGAGGCTGAGGCAAAAGGATCATGAGTCCAGACTTGTATGGGCTATGTAGCGAGACCTTACTTCAAAAAAGCAAAACTGGGCTGGAGAGACAGCTCAGCGGTTAACAGCACTGACTGCTCTTGCAGAGGACCCAGGTCTGGTTCCCAGCACCCACATGGTGGCTGACAACCATCATAATTCCAATTCCAGGCAGCTGACTCCCTCTTCTGACCTCGGTGGGTGTCACGGGTCAGTGACCACAATTCAATACATCTCTCAACTCTCATCAATGAAGCTCCCTCATACAATAGAGGACCAGAAACACAAAAGGTCACAAATGGCCAAAGCGTGGAGAGTACAAGTCTGCAGAGTGTGGGTCCTTGGACAGGACTCCTGTATTAAACTCCACCCACCCATGGCTCAGGGACCATTACAGACCAGGGGGTGGAAAGGTTGTCAGAGCCAGGGAGGAGGTGCGTGACCGTGTGGGACTAGAGTTCTAATAAGGTCCTGGGACCGTGACCATATGAACTTGCAGCAGTGGTATTAACTTGCACAGGATCCATACAACCTCAAGCAGACAAAAACCCAGCACAGAACCGTGGAAATGAACAGCAATCCCCAATCTTAGTCGAAGAATTATTGGCAGCTGATTACTGATAGGTGAGGAAGAGCTGATCTTCTTAAAGGGAAGGACTCTAGATAGGCTGACCAGACCAAAGTGGGTGAACTTGAACTGAGGGACATCTGGGGACACTAACTTGACAGGATAGGCCTTAACACAAATGACAGAATTATGAATTCCAGTTGGGGCGGGGGGAGTATGGGAAGGGGCCACTGGGGAAATTGGTATAAAGATGATTAAGATGTTCTGTATGGAATACACACAAATTCAATAAAATATTTACAAACCGGATTAAGTTCCTAGCACCCTCTTCTGGCATCCGTGGGCACTGTACAGCATAAGTGCACTTAAATATAGGCAATACACTCATATACCTAAAAATTTTTAATTAAAAAAAAGGCAAAAACAACTGTGTATGATAGAGCATGCCTTTGATCCCCGCACCCCAGCATTCCAGAGGCGGGTGGATCTCTGTGAGATCCAAGCCATCCTGGTCTACATGGCAAGTTATGGGTAACCCGGGGCAACAGGGAAACCCTAATCTCAAAAAAACAAAAACCCTAAACCAGCTGTCTTTTTGAATCTCTTTTAAGGTCTACAGAGATGCCTATCATGGTAGATGACATCATACAACTGCTGTGCTCCATTTCCCAGGAGAAAAGAATGCAGGCGGCTGTGAAGCACTCTGGAAAGGGTGCCCTGGTCACAGGGGCAGTGGCCTTCGTTGGTGGTTTGGTTGGTGGCCCACCAGGAATAGCCGTTGGTGAGTGTGTGTGTCTCACAGGTACAGCCAGCCGTGGGCTTGTCATAAGAAGGTTTCTGGAGCCAGGCGTGGTGTACACCTTTAATCCCAGCACTTGGGAGGCAGGAGGTGGAGAGTTCGAGGACAGCTTGGGCTGTATACTGTGATCCAGGCCTGTCTGAGACTGTGGAGCCATAGGGAGGAATGGCCTAGGGATCATGGTACTGTATGCCCAGTGTGAGGAGTCTGTGGGTCCCAGTTGCTTCTGTCTGTCCTGTTGTTAGCACGGCTCCTGTGTGGAGGTCTCAGGATGCAGGGTGATCTTGGTCGTGGCATCTGTATCTCTTCACACTGAGGAGACACCTTTCTCCTGGTGCCAGGAACCCCCGGCCCTGCCCTTCTAGAGCTGAGTCCTGGGATCTAAAGATACAAGGTGTCTGGGTCCCTTGGATGTCCCTGCCCCACATCACCATTACCACACCACCTGAGAAGAAATCCAGGGAGGAAGCTTGTTTTGCTGAGCTCCATCCATGAACAGATGCTCAGAGTGTGGCTGTTTTACACAGGCTGGCTTGCTCCAGGAGAGGCTTCATCTGAAAACAAAGGGTTCAAAAGCAAAACGAAAGACAGAAAAGCAAAACAAAGGTCTGAAAGGCACATGCCCAGGAGAGCGACTCCACCCACAGTGAACATCCTACCTACATTTTGCCACCATTTCTGCTTGCCAGTGTCTGTCACTGAATGAAAGAGTGGCTAATTTTCCCACTGTTCTCTGGAGCCTCATTGACGCTGAGAGCCTGTGTTCCAGGCCTCAGAAGACCCACCTGGCTCAGGACCACCTAACTCAGGACCATAGGTTGACATGGATTCCCAGCTGGCTACCCTCTAGAGGTGTTAGGAAGACCCCTAGGGGAGGGCCAGAGAACGTTCCCCCACTGGGAGATGGCTACCCATGTACCTTGCAACACAGCTGGTGCCCTTGCCAGAGCTGGGCACCTGCAGTGTGGGGCTAGGTAGTTAATTACTGATGGCTCTGTGTGCGTGTGTGTGTGTGTGTGTGTGTGTGTGTGTGTGTGTGTGTGTGTGTGTGTGCGCGCACGTTGATGACCTGTGCTGGAGGCTTGGTGCTTCTAAGAACCCAGGCTGGCTAGAAGCCCTTCCTAGGTGGACTGTAGTCCGAACGTGCTGGTAGGCTAGGCCAGGGGAAGCACTTTTTTGCTGAGGCCAGCCTCCTGGCAAGGCTTCCCACTCTGTTCTTGTCTTTGTAGCAGGGCTGACAATTGAGAACATAGCAATAAGCTAAAGCTACATTTAAGAGAAACCTCAGCACATGGGTAGCCCAGACCTTCCCCTAATGCGTTCCCCTTTCCAAATTCTATGAACTCTGTGAGTCCTGACCTGGCTTCTTGCTGCTCAGGGAGGGAGGAGACAAACCCGTTTCTTGCTTCTTCGGGGACACCCCAGCCTTTCCCCCACTCCTATCAGAGTGCCCTGACTGTGACAACAGGACAGTTTTATCGTATAGCTGGGCCTCATTACCATCTTAGGAGCCTATATTTTATTCAGATTGAGTGAAGCTGACAGAGAGCAGAGTCTATAGGGAGAACTTGTGGCTGGCCTGGCCTGGGAAGCAGGTCCATCCAGGGACCACCTGTTTGGATTCAGACAACATGAGGTTTGCTTTCCAGCTTCTGAGTCCAGCCTACAAATGAGATCTCCCTGGCCTAGGCTGTGTTGTTTATTTATTTTTAATTAATTGGTAAGCTTTATTTATATGAGTATGTTGCTTACATATACGTAAGGATACCATGTGCATGCAGTGCCCACGGAGGCTAGAAGAGGGCATTGGCTCCCCTGGTACTGGAATCACAGATGGTTGTTAGCTACCAAGTAGCCACTGCACAGTCAGCCTGGTTTTCTGCAAGATCAGCCAGTGCTCTTAACTACTGAGTCATCTCTCTAGTCCCATATTATTCATTTATTTTTGAGACAAGGTTTTGCTGTGTAGCCAGGCTGGCCTCAAACTAGCTCCCCAGAGCTGGAATGAAAGGTTGCATCACCATGCCTAGCTAAGGTTCTATTTTCTACAACAACTTTTTGCTTGCTCCTTCCTTCCTTCCTTCCTTCCTTCCTTCCTTCCTTCCTTCCTTCCTTCCTTCCCTCCCCCTCCTCCCTCCCTCCCTCCTTCCTTCCCTTCTTCCTTTCCTCCCTCCCTCCTCCCTCCTTCCCTCCCTCCCTCCCTTCCTTCCTTTCCCCATTCCTTCTTTCTCTGTCTCTCTGTTTCTCTCTTTCACAACAAGGTCTCTCTATGTAGCTCAAGCTGGCCTAAAACTGAATCTGTTTCACAGATTGGACTTCAAACTTGAGATCCTTGTGCCTCAGCCACCAGAGTGATGGAATTACAATTTTGTACCAGTTATGTGCCCAGTAGTTAGGATAAATTTTTCATTTTGGAATAATGTTGGATTTATGTAAAAGTTACCATGTGGGAATCCACATGAGCCTCACCCATTTTCAGTTCAGTGTGACCGTGTCCCGTCATGTTTGTGGGAACTAAGGAGCCAGTGCTGATCCCATCCCGCTGACCAGCTCAGCTCCCGATTCCAGTTTGACCAAACTTTGCACCAGTGCCTCATTTTGCTCCAAGTCACCACTTTGGTTCTAATGATGTTTTTTCCTTAGTCTTTTCCAGCCTGATAGTTCCTTAGGCCTTCCTTGTCTATCATGACCTCGACAGTTTGAGGGGGACTGACAGGCATTCTGTAGAATTCTGAGTCTTGTCCTATGTACTTCTCATGAGTCTTGGGAGGGATTCCTCAGAAAGCAAGTGTCGTCTGCATTGGTCTTCAGGTACATGACATCCCATGGTGCCTCCAGTAACGCAGACCTTGGGGACTGGTCAAGGTGCATGTTCTGGGTTTTTCCTCTTTCAAGTTTCGGTCTTTCATCCCGTCTTCTCTTCTTTAGGAGTGACTTACTCTGTCCATCTAAGCTGCAGCTGTATCTGATTGCTGATACTGAATATTTGTAGGATGTTTAAAAAATATGAATCTAGGGCCCAGCATGGTGGTACACACCTTTAATCCCAGCACTTGGAGGCAGAAGCAGGTGGATCTCTGTGAGTTCAAGGCCAGCCTGGTCTACATAGTGAGTTCCAGGACAGCTGGGGCTATGGGGAGACCCTGTCTCAAAAAGACCAAAAAAAAAAAAAAAAAAACGAATCTAGTGTTCTGAGTGGCCACACTTGGCTGGCATGTATGGCATGTAGCAATAGCTGCTCCTCCAGGCAGGGACCCAGCTCTCCAGGCCACCACAGGCCCCTCTGCCAACTTTACCTCCTTTGGTCACCTACCTGGCCCCTGAAGGTACTTAAGTTTGAGAACTTTGCCCCTAAGGCATGTTCCCTGACCTTGTACCACCCCCACACTGCCTGGTAGTGGAAGTTTCCATTGTACAAAGGCTTCAGGTTCTACAACAGCATGCCTTAACTTTGGCAATAAACTTACATTTAAAAACAATGTATCTAGCTAAGGATGTAACTTGTGTAGAGAGCTTACCTAGTGTGCCTGAACCTATCCTATGCTCAATGCCTATTACCACTACCCCCCTCCACCCCCCAAAAAGCATAAATCTAAAAATGTTTCTAGCTGGATGCTGTGGCATGTATCTGTGATCCTAGCACCTGGGAAGTTTAGATAGGATTATCAAGGGATCTAGGCTAGCCTGGGCTACACAGCAAGACCCTGTCTCCAAAAAAGAAAAAGGAAGGAGGGAG